TAATTAAGTACAAAAGTAATTTGTTTTAAATTGTTGGGGTTAGAAGTGGAAATGAAAGTAAGCTTGTTCGGAGAATTAAATATCGTAGTATATATAGAGATTATTATATGCTCTTGGGATATTTTAGTATGTAATTGCAACACTGTTTTTCCTTAGTGGTTATAATAGTTCTTAATCAAAATGCATTCTCCTGCAAGGTGTTGATTATTTTGTTAATATGTAGAGATGTGTGAGTCGTGTGTGGCCTGTGCGGAAGCGGATGTATCTATGTAGGTCCCGTTTGGAAATATATGGAGGGAAGGTAGATGCCTCTCCTTTAGGGTTTATAATTTTGTAGAAGTGGTGGTAGTTGTCCCAGGTTTGTTGTTTCCGTGTTGTGTAGAAATCGTTTAGTGTCCGTATGACATCAGATTTGTGTTATGTAGATTGTTGTATTATGGGAGCTGTAGTGCTGAACTTTGCTGCTTGGTCTGCTAGGTTGTTTCCTCGAAGCCCAGAGTGCCCTGGTATCCACATAACTTTTATTTGAGCATATAACATGTTTGTCCTTCTGCGAGGTATACCATTTTATGGCGTCGAGAAGTGCTTGAAGAATGCTCATTCAGTCGCATTAGTTTTACAGTGTCGTAATTAGAATTTACGACAGCGTAGCCAACTGCTGTCATTGTCTTGGATCCGTCAGTGTAACTTAGAAATCAGCCGGTAGATTGAAGTGGGTTTGTGATATTATAAAATTGGGTTTGGTAAGCGATGTTGGTTGTGGAATCTTTCGGAAGGTGCATTAGATCGGAGCCAGAGTGGTCGATAAGATTTAAGTACTTTACGTGGTTTGTGGTGCAACTTGAGTTCCAGAATACACTGATTGACTCTTTCTAGTATTGATATCAATTTCTTCGTTTTTTTCCTGCGCGTATGGGGTAAATAGGTGTTATTATATCGCATTAGGTGTGTTTCCGAAGGCATTAGTATTATTGTTGTTGTTGTAGATGGTCTCAATTTTCCTCAAGTTTAATTTTGGGGAGTGCCCGTATATTGCTAATCCATATTCAATCTTGGGAATAAGTATTGCTTTGATTATATTTATGGTAACATTGGGGTGCGCGCTGCTATGATAGCTTACTAATACATTTGATTAAATGTAGCCTTTTGTTTAATTCTTCTTTCAAATAGTTAATGTGGGACGTAAAATTATATTTGTTGTTAAATACTACACCTAGTACTTTAAGTTTAGTAACATATTGATGGTTGTCTTATGATAATTTGGTTTAGTTTTTCGAATGCGATTAAAAATGGGGATCCCTGTGGAATTCCATTGATCAGAGGCATACTATTTGAAAGGTAAGAGTTGAAACTAGTTCTGAATTTTCTATTCGTTAAGAAGGAAATAGTGTATCTGATTAATTTTGGGCCTAATTTCCATTCCTTAAGTTGATCGATAATAGCATGTATTCCGATGCGCTCAAATGCCTTTTCGAAGTCAATGGAAATAATGGTAATGTGGTTATTTTTGAGGAGGTTCTTAATTATTTGGTTATCCAAATATACTTGGGCATCACTGGTCCGTTTCCTTGGTTTGAATGCAACCTGTTTTGGGTGGATAAGATTATTTCTTTCTAGAAACCAATTTAAGCGCATTGAAATAATTTTTTCAAGGATCTTGCTGGTGCAAGATAGTAGAGAAACAGGACGGTAGCCCTCGATCCTGTTTTTGGGTTTGAGGTAAATATCTACGGGAAATTTCCGAAATAATTCGAATTTCGAAAAATTGTGAAACTCGTACTTTTCTTTTATCGTTGTGAAGCATAAACAGATAATTGCACAAAAAAAAGCTCGACCTTCAAAAAAATTGTGGCCCACTTTACAAATTTTTACTCTGTTTGGTTAAATGGTTTGAAGACCTTCAGCTCGTAGCCACTGGCACTCTTCTCATTCTCATTATTTATACTGCACTGGGTACGATGATGGAGACATTCCTCTGAAAATTTGTATTCTAATAGCCGTATTCATAAAAAATATAGTAGCTTTAAAAAAGGTTTATAAATTGAAAAACGTATGAAAACGACATTTTATAAAACTTTTTAAACGTTCTTTATTTTTTATGAATAGGGCCATAAGTCTGTGGAAAAAAACATTTTTTATGCTTTGGCCTTTTCTTAGACCTATATTGAATTTACACGAATTTACTTTTGATCGTGCATATCTTGCTACCATCAGGGTATTTTTCGCCATATTGGCCGCCCTATTGGACCTTAGGGCAAATCCGTCACTGGCTGTAGTCATGGAGGAATGTGCATGAAGGAATGTTCAAAATGTAACTCATTTGGGAAACATTTAGCAGAGATAAATATTTGCAAGAAACTGCGTCAACATTAGCGAAAAATTCTGTTTTTGGTTGAAAAACGTTCTTACTTGCCAACTCATACGTATCTAATGCTGTTTCTCGGAATATTTCTGTGTCCGGAGACCCAGACTAAATTCTCTGGGCATCGCGTAGATAAATAGTTTAGAACGATTCTTCATCCATTCATACCTTCGAAGAGGTAAATGGAAGCCTGGTTGTAATTCATGTATTAATTCAGCTTGGAAGACACCCCAGTACAGCCAGGAGACGAGACGCAGAAGCATGTTTATATGTAGTTCTTCCAAATGGATATTTCAGCCGATTTTATTATTCATTTAGAGTCATCACTGAAGATTGAAATGGAACTAGAGCCATGCTTTTTATGCTTTACCATTCTCTCGTCTCGATCGGAGTTCTTGTCGAAAACTTATTATAAAAGCAGAGTCGAGGAAAAGTATAATCCAGCTAGATATAATATCTAGAATTTTAGTGTAAAAATTTAGCTTCTCACCAGGGCAGATAAGATTTTTGCCTAGCATAATTTCAGTATGACTGGAATTTATCATAAAAAGGACCGAAGGAAGTTGGGGTTCTAAGGAGAGTTTAATGTTATCCATAAGAGAGTTGATGCAGGGGTAGAACAATCTAAATCTATTCAGGTGGTAAAAAATGGAAAATCTGAACTTTTTCCGTTCGTAACCTCTAATTAGATAATTGGCCTGTCGAAGGCATTTATGGAGACAAACGCCAATTTTCTTCTCTCACTACTCTTCGCTGCACTTGAAGTTTATTTATTTATGTCTGCAATTTAATTTTCCTCCTTTTCCTGATGTCGTTTTGCTCAAAAACCGGATGCCAAACTTCAATGTGTCAAGATTGCGTAAATTGGATAAAATTCTATCAGATTTACTGCGGATAGATGATATAAAAAACTAGTTTCTGTGATCTTTTTAAAGCTCTTATCCATAAATTAAAAGCCTAGAATAAAACAAAATTTTAAAGGCCAATTTATTTAACCAAAATCCCCAAGTAAGCTGCCTTTACATAGAAAGTGGGTTACTAATACTTGACCAAACTTACATACATTCTTAAATATGTAAGTCCATACACAAATATGTATGTGGATAGGTATGTGCGTGCGCTATAAACTTTGGAAGATAATTTGATGGCTTGTAAGAGGGAATTGGTGCCACTTGAGACATCAATTCGGCTGCTGCTTCATACATCCAGTGGCCAGAGTTAAGTGAATTTGTGAATGCGAAAGCAAAGTTGTTAATGGCCACAGTAGCAGTAAAAAAAAAATTGCGTATGACAAGCACAGCTTGCAAAGATATGTACATACATACATATGTATGCATGTATTTACGAGCATAAGCATATCTTCAGCTATGTAATCTCAGCTCATCTCGACGCGGACGAGACAATGACGTACATACACACATCTGTGTAGCTAAGCTTAAGACTTTCGTTGAAACCTAATTGGTTACATTTTATGAGAAGTACCAGAATAAAAGAAAACTAATGAAGACTATAAACAATGCATAGCTTGTTTTTTTAAATCTGATTTTCGGCGATAACAATCTGCGTTTGATGTCGAGGGCAGGCTACCCGCCGCTGGCTACCACTTGAGCGCTGTGAGGGTTCGTCGAACGCGAATTTCGATTGTGAAAACTTACACTTTGTATTTACTTATATGAACTTTTTTTTATCCATATTCTGTTATTTTGTTCTTCATAGCGGCTACGCAATTGTCATTTATAACCCGAAATGCGTAGTCAAGGTCAGGGGCGTATACGCAACCAAGTAAGCAAGAGTTGGTGCATTTGCCAATAGCAGCGTTGACTGATGCTGACTGCCTCAATTGTTAATTGCCTATGCCGATAATTGATAATTGTATTTGTAGCTGAAAGACATCTATTAAGCGCTTCTATGAACATTGAACTTGCGTGCAATTCGCCTAAAGCAATTGTTCGACTAATTGAAAAAAAAAAAAAATTTAATTGACTGGGGCTTTCGTGTGCTGATTTCATTTGATTAGTGTGGATTGTTTGAAAATTGAAATGCTTCATTGTTAATAGTTAGGCTTTCTTGGATCCTTCGAGGAAAAATGTCTATGAACTTGTGCTCGTTGCATTATGAATGATTATATGGTAATAAAGAAATGAGTAAGGCCGGATTTCCTCTAGGCATTAAACGACAAAGATTTTAATAACAAAGTTGAGTATAAAAAAATATTCGTGTCATTACGTTCAAAAAATAGTGATTAAATTCATTTCCACATGGTATTTTTTCAATGCTTCCAATTTTTTGTCATTTCAATTTTCCTAGTGGAAATTCGGCATATGTTATCTACAAATTTTTTCGAACGAAAAAGTAGAAATTCTCAAAAAGGGCACTCAAATATACCGGAAATCGTTCAGATACTACTTCGAAATCTGCTTTGCGGCCTTTAATCTTGGAAATCAGATTTCATAGAAAAGATTACGACTATTTCCTGTCGCATGAGGAATTTTAAATATAAACTTTTCCCTAACAATTGCAATCAATTTCAGTTTTTTCCATCTTTTTGCCATTTTTTGTTTTTCCATTTTGATCCATGCTGCCATTTGCATGAACGTGTTCAATTTCGAATTTCATTGTTCACTTTTCATGTCTGTAGAGTTTCATAATCGAAAGTGGCAACACGTCAGCAGTGAATACAGTAACAGCAACTACAGCTCAAACAAAAGAAGAAGAAGAAGAAGTGACAGCTAGCGACAACAGCAGCATTAGCTTTAGCAGAAGTGGCAACAGCAGTCAGCGCCTACCCCGACGCACACTCACCTCACCACCACCTCCTAAGCCACCCAAGCCACTCAAGCTGACAAAGTGCCATAGCAGTGATCATCAGTTGCAACATCATCTGCTCCTCGTCGACTTACCGAACTATCAACAGCAACACCACGAACATAATCAAATCAATCACGCGCTTCGACAGCCTCCACACAGCCATCAGCAACATAAACATCCACATCAGCATAAGCATCATCACCATTATCATAGCCATAATAAGCAGAAAACCCCACCAAATTCACAGCAAGTACAACAAAAAGAGCAACAAATCGATAGCAGTAACTTAATGCCTTCGCTGGATTACGGTGTGCCGCCACCGCTGCCACCAAAACCCAAAAGTTTATTGCAACACATCAAACCGCAGCAACAGCAACAGCAACCGCTTCAGGAGCAACAACAATATCAGCTGTTACAGCAACAAAAAATATTACAGCAACAATTGCAGCAACAGTTACAGCAACAGCTGCAGCAAGTGCTTAAACCACAACAGCAGCTACTGGCTGAGCCGCAGCGAAATTCCAATGACACCACCACACATCATCAGCAACAACCACCTAAATCACCAAAGCCTCCGCCATCACCACGTACCCCAAAATCCCCACTACCGCCAACGTCATCCTCACCGCTCGCACTTCAGTCTGCTGGCAGCAAGAAGGACGCTGCGAAATCGCCAACGCAATCACAAACGCAAACTCAGACATTTCAATTCCATCGTTTCCATCATCACAAATCGGCGCCCACATTTGATCTCTTCTTCAAATCGCCCACGAATTCATCCTGTGCCACGCCCCTATCCAAATCACGCCGCAACAGTTCATATCATTCGTACGATGATTTGGATGCAACGAGCGCCGAGAAGAAAGTTGTATCCAGTTTGAAATATTTGTGCGCCTGCACTGGCGCCACTTTGCGAAATCTCTCGAAGAAAACAAAAGATTTACACGCGAAGAATTACTGTTACACGAAGGTAAATCAATGGGTGAGAAAGTGTTTGTAGAGTCGTAGAGGATGTTAACCAACATAAGTAGCAAGGATATACTATTTCGAGATAATTATTTTGTTTGTATTGATGAAAGGCAATTAGAGTTACTGATATGAAAAACGTTTGCTTTCGGTAAAGTAGAGTTACTCTTATTAACAGATTTAGTTGGACAGTACTACAAAAATTTAGAACTGGCAATTGAGGAAAAGCATACGATTTCGAATGCGAGTATGTATGTATATATATCAATTGAAATACAAGACCTTAAGATGATACATAAGTATCGATAACATTGATAATGAGGATATCGATAAAAAGAGCGATAACAATGATAATGTTTATGTCGGTAACAATAATGAAACGATAACAGCGATACAGCCGAAAAAAAACTGCAGACAAATTTAACGATAACTATAAAAATTTCGATTTTGTTAGCCATAACTATAGTTATACCGATAAAAATAATAGCCGCATCATTAGCAATAACCAAAGCAGTACCGAAATTCTTAACATTATCCATAATTATCGACAACGCTACTCATAGTGTGAAAATACATCGATAGTGATGCCGATAACACGGTCGTATATGTATGTACATTAGACCGTACCACCTTACAAGCAAACAAAAACAATTCGCCGTACAACCCTGAGTAAAAATATTTTTGCAAGGCAATTTGGAAAAAAATTTTGTTTGGACGGACCAAGGGGTCGTGGGTAAGTACAAGTACGGGGTGCATGAGGTCAATGAACTTTGATAAAAAAAAAATTTTTTCTTCGATAAGAACCATCGATATCATATCATACTTCAAGATCCACACTCAGCCGAAAAAAAATTTTTTATTTTTTTTTTAAATCGCCTTGCCAAAATACTTTAGCTTCGAAGATGTACGGTCTAATTTACAAATTTATTTGAAATTTGAAAGAAACTTAAAGAATTCAAATGTTTCATATCGTAAACCTGTCTTTAGGTATGTAAAATGTAAATATTTGCTTAAGAATCGGGAATAAGCGATGTGAATTGAAACCTCAATCATGCCTGCGAGCCACAAAATCCCCTTTGATACACAGACCTACGAAAAGATCAAGTATGGCATTTCAAGTGTTACGCGTGCTAAGGGAATTACATATTTGAAAGTATTTTTAACCGGCTTCAAAAAAAGGAGAAGTTTATAAATTCGTCGGAATATTTTATTTAATTTTTTATTTATGTTTCCGCATAGCTTTGCACCACGTCAATCGATTTCTATAATTTATATAATTTTTTAAAGGAAAGGGTTACCTACCATTTTAATTTGGTTCAGATCCGATCATTGAATCATTAGGAAATTAACGGTACTTTTAAATTTTTATATGAGGATTGAAGTCAGTTTGGTTTTTTGCTTAAAAATTACTTGTCAATAAAGTAAATCGGAAATATCCAACTGTCTTTGTTTCGATTTAGAATCCCCGCCTGTCAGCATATCTGCCAGCTTGTTAGATTTTCATACACTATTTCGAAAAGTAAGCCACAGTAAATATTCAAATTGAAACAAACGTAAACATCACAAATAGAATTTAGTATGCCACTTATTATAAATTCGATAAATTTATTTTATTTTCTATAAATTTTAAGCCATAGTAGCATTGACGTTCACATGTATGTGTATATGCGCTGCTGCATTCCACTGACAATTTATGGCAGTTGCAGTTTGTTTACTTTTGCTTAAAATTATTCTCATTTTTATTTATAATTTTGTGCGTAGAGCAAGAATTTTGTATTTCTTAAATATTATGAAAAGCCGTACGGAAGCAAGTCAGACAAAGCGTATTTTGCGACTTAAAACCGGTTTATAGACATAACTCAGTGCTCTTTGTTCAACATGTCGCTCATTCATTGGGAAAAAGAACCGCTTTTTAACATACATACATATGCATTTACATACATACAACAATAGCCTCATTCTATTGCTACCGACTGACAAAAAAGCACTAGGCAGGATAATCAAATACATACAAGCAGACACACAAACTATGCTATTTATCCGAGTTGAGCCAGGTTAGTTAACAAATATGCAACCTCTTAAGTAGTGTGGCAAAGCAAGGAAACTACGTCATTGTGAATGAGTGAAGTTATTTGGGACATTTTTATTTTGACAATTGTATATTTGATTCATATTGAATTTAAATTTACTAACAGGTGGCCTTATTCAGAAAGTTAAAAAAAAAATATTCCAAATGTTTCATTTCCAGCCGTTTCTGAGTGAAAGGAGCTGTCGCGTGGTGTCGGTATTTCATTTAATCAAATTTCAAATCATCCGGCACTGCTAAAAAAATTCTACCTACAAAAAATAAAGTCTTATTACACATCTACAGGCGCAGTGCTTTAATTTGACGTTTAATTTTTGAAATTCGAAGTAACCGTGCAGCTCTGTTGTTCTTCACAAATAATGCTGTTCTTACGTTTGGCACTCATATTGTAACATTTAATTTACTAACTTGTGTATAAGTTAAACAAATTCGACTTTAAAAACAGGTGGTAACCCTCTTTAAAAATTTTTTATAACTCAAATCTTTTTAAATCCCTTTTGTCTGGCATTGGGATACATATTGCATTTAACTGATGAGTTAATTTGAATTTGATTTTCAAACACGTGGCAACTCTCCTTAAACATATTAGAAACATATAATTTTCAAACTCATTTCGCTTGATACCCAACTTTTAATAATTAATTTAACTTATTAAATAATTTGGATCTACCTTTTTCAAAATGTGGCAACCTCCTTCACACTCCTCAAAATTTTCTATATTATCAATCTAAAAATTTCAATCGATTGCTTAACACACATATTTTTATCTTTCAAATAACTTGCATATAAGATAACTAAATTCTGCTCTTAAACAGGTGGCAACCCTCTGAAAAATATGTTCAACTACTACCTCCTTAAACCTGTTCCGTCCGACACCCGTTGGGAGATACTTATTACAATTACCTTAATTCAAGTTAAATTTTATTTTTGAACAGGTGGCAGACCTCATATATTCAGTTTAGAAATAAAGCTTTTTCAAACCATTTCAATTGATGCCCATATAGGAATAGTTGATTTATTATATAACTTGAACTAAATTTTTTAAACGGTGGTAACTCTTTTCGAAAACTAAACCGTAATTCACATCTACAGGCCACAAGCCCTTTAATTTGACATCTCATTTTTGAAAATCGAAAGAACGGTGCAGGTCTGATGACCTGAACCGAAAAATCCATTCGCGTATTATATATATACACTGAGAAAAAAATTCAGTTACCTCAACTAAATATGTTCTTATCAACGCTACATTTGGCTACATTTCGTTATAGTTACCAAAACATGTGTTGAGAGAAATATGTTTAGCTCACTTTTTTCTGGGTGTAGATATTAGGCAAACATTTGGTATAACTACTCACATGCTGCATTGGCAGACATCAACCGTTTTACTTGTGTATTTAAAAGGTAATTATAACTGTGTTGGGTGTTCTTTTGGTACTCGGCACCAAGAGAATGAGGCTCACACCAAACACAAAACATTCCCTCAATTGAGAATGTGAGCAAAATGCGCGATATTTCCGGGATTACCATCCCTAGAACATAAAAAATAAATAACGTAAAGAATTTATATTCTTCTTTGCCGAGTGCGACGTTATATATGTTTTTTTAAATAAATTTTTTATTTTATTTTTAGGATAACATTGAAAATGGTTTTAGTGTACGTTTTCAATGCTTCTTATTGGCACAGTTTTTCATTTCAATCTGATTTGTAGCGCACGAGGGAAATGTCGAATTGTCAAAGCTAATATTCGGATATGTGGTGTGGGCTAGAAGATAGGAGGGTGTGTCAGAGGGATTGTTTATATTTTATTTTTAAAGTTGTTTATCGCAAGTAGAAATAAAATAGCGTCTTAGAAAATTTAATGAATATATGTACATTAGGGTGGTCCTTAAATGAAGTGAGCAAATTTTTACATCAGATTTCCTAAGCCTCAAAGCCTCAACCCCTACATCAATGCTACTATAGTCGAAGATGTCACAAAGTTTAGATTACCCTTTGACGACGTTTTAACCGACTTTAATCGGAACTAAAATTTGTATGTGATATCCTCGACTATAGTAATAGTATCGATTTTGGGCATTAAATGAAAAATATATTTATAATTTTTTGAGTCCTTAGAGGCGTCTGGCCTTTGACCCTTTTGCGACACGCCTTAATCGACTCTAATCGGGACCAACATTTATATGTGATATCTTCGACTATGGTAGTATCGATTTTGGGTATTAGACGAAAAAAATAATAATTTAAATTTTTTGAGTCTCCATAGAGGAATCTGAAGTTTTCCCCCTGTGCGACACGCCTTAACCGTCTCCAATATATGTGATATCTATGACAGTGGTGTTACCGATTGAAGAGGTTAGACTGAAAAATTCGTTCATTTGATTTTTTAAGGACCACCCTAATGTACATAAACCATACATACATACATACATATTATGCATGCATGCAGTACTATGCATATTTGTAGATATGTACCTAAGTAAGTAATAAGACTCACATGATGAATGAATGGGAAAACCAGCCTGAAAATGTGCTTTCATGTGTTTGGTTTTTATGAGTGTGCGGCTTTGAGCTGTAATTAGATATGCGTGCAAATTTATTATTCGCTAGATGAGAGCTTAAGTCACTGTTACTGAGCGGGTGACTGGGTTGTTATGTATATAAATCTAAAAAGTGTAATGCCTAATTGTTTTTTGAACGTAAAAAAATTTAAATGTGTTTTCTAAATAAGCGGTTTTTTGACATTGCGCTTCCGCAGCAATTTGCTCTAAAACTGTGCCAGGCAAAATAAACACGCACACATAGTGCACTTAGCTGCCTGCCTGGCACTCTTCTACAATATTAGTCCCGCCAGTTTCGGGGGATTCCATGCAGGTACCTTAAACCATTTGCATTTAACTTTAGGCTTCCATGAATTTGT